GGGTGAGCCATCGGCACCCACCAACACAGAGGTTATGACGAAGCTCATAAAGCTTCTGAAGCTCTCTGAATCGATTTGTATACTACGGCATGTATTTCAGCACTAGGCATGTCATCTCTCAGGCCTCACATGGAAAATAACTTTCTTAGCACAGCAGTACTGATTAAGATTACTGGCCTAATCTTTTCTGCCAGCAGTGGTAATTAGCCCAGGCAGTGCCACATTGATGTAGCTATGCTCTTTCTATTATTGGAGGTGGAACATTCAGTCATAGTTTCGTCATGCTGTATCACGTACAGCATTGCACGCGTGTATTCTTCCACCGAGGCAAAGTCTGAAGGAGTCAATTATTTTCAGTTATCATTTGTTAGTCAAGTTGAGACAACCAAAAGCCTAAGTGGTTTAAAAAAATCGATCAGCCAAAGAAGAGTAAAACATAAGATATTGATTTCTCTGAGGTAATAAATATTTAACAAATCAATAGTCCTGGTAAGAAAAAAGGAATCTTAAATTTGAAATGAATTTAAACCTAACTGGTTTAATTTGGTTTATATGTTCAAAAAAAATATTCAACATCTCTACTGAAATACATGAATATCTTTTGCTTATGTGCTAATAGCCAATAAAGACGTTCAGAACTTCACCTCCAGGGATGATTTGTTATCCTAAATATCGCAAACCACAGTATGTGCCTCTTTATTGCCAAAACTTTGCCTTTGCAAGATTTGGAAAGAAATCCTAAAGAAAGAATATTTAAATCGATATGTAAATTTTTCAGTAAAGTACTTACCTGTAAAGAAGCTTTTCTGAGCAAAGATAAAATGATAGGTTGCCTTATAAACCTCGAGTTCACATTGCCATGTCTGTGGCATGTTCCATATCCGGGGATAACTTGCATTAATATGAAACTGTGAACAAGAAATCAAGGCATCAGAATTACTTGGAAATCTGACAGTGCTTGCCTCTGCAGCTCAGCAGTGTTCACACATTTACTCTGTTGAATAATTAAAAAAAAAATTCATCTCTTTCTCTGTCTTTCTGTGTCTGAAGGTCAAGTGGTAAGGTAGTCATCTACTTGGAAAGGTATATTTTGAACTTCTGATACTGCTCAACAAACTTACTATCTGCTGCAGTAGCTACTCCAAGCAATTTATAATTCAAAGCTTTTTAATGAAAGTATCATTTTTCTCAACATGCTACAGGTACCTCTCAGAATGTATTATTTTCAGCCATAATATGTTCGAAAATTAGATATTACAAATATATTAGTCATTTAACATCTAGTGAAAAAGATTATCTACAGCTCACGTATGGCAAATACTAAGACAAAATAATACCAAAGAACAATGCAATGTTAAGTTTGTCTCACGTAGTTTAAGTACTTAGCAATATTTGCGTACACGCACAATCATTCTCTAGCACAGCTAACAATTGTAATGATTTGTTACTGTAAAGTCTATATCAACAATATAGCTATATGGTCAATTAGACAGGATTTGTAAATAACACTGCAGTCCTCCACTTTCAATACACATAATTTTGCAGATACATTACATAATTCACTGGGAGTTATACAGGTGTATAGTTACAGACATGCCTAAGTTCCTTACACATTAAGGTTCTCTGAAATACACACAGAGAGCATTTTCCTGCATTGTATAATCATCTGAAGTACTGTGATGCAGCCAAATAAATATATTCTTGATTAAAATAAAAGTCATTTTGAGACTCAAACTATGTGCTTATTAATGCAAACTTACAGCTAGCATTTCTGCTTCTAAGAGAGTCCTGTACTGCATACTGCTGGTGGCATCAACATGTAAAAGCTGCCCTTTAATTGTAGGTGAGTAGCCTAGCAGACAAAACAAAACATTAACATAATTGTTCAGAACATGAGTTGAACATATACTTTAATAAGCATCACCACTGATTTTGGCAGTCTACTAAAAACCAAAGATATCAGGGTGGGAATTAGTACTGATAATTCTGTCCTCTATTATTTGTCAATGAAAAGATTAACACGTTCTGTCTGCATGTAAGATGGATAACAAAATCTTCTTGCTGTTTCTGGAAAGGCTCAGGCTCTAGAGATCTTGGCTTAAATTGCACAATAGAACTCAAATATGCCCGAAAGAATCAAGAGAACAGGAGCAGTTTAACAAAGGGCTTCAATATCTGCCAACAACATCAACAAACCGAAGAAATACACTTCACCTTTACCTCAACCTTACCTTGGGTTTTGTTTTTTTTTTTTAAATTTATTAAATACACTACCTCTGAATTTAGTTTTTATAATGCATTTCTAACCATGCTTCTAGAGTTAACCTCCTACGCTAATCCCACCAAGACATCTTGGTGCTCTGACTCGACAAAATACATGTGATCTGCTTCAACACACACACACCGTTAAATTATACTCTTTTTAGTAGTTAAGGGATTTAAATGTGCGCTTCCAAACCCAAGCAAAATATGGAAGCAACTGAATTACATACCTAAGTGTTTTTATGTCTTGCAGTGAAAGATACAAGGAAATTGTTATTGTTTCTTTACAGAAGAATATACGTCTCATAGTCATAAAAGAAAAACAATGTAAGATATTCAGAGTCCTAAGAATTAAGATAGGTGTTTAGGAAAAACATTAAGAAAGCAAATTAAGTTTAGCCCTAACTTACCATTTTCACCTACTGTCATGGGAATATTTATTTCCAAATACGATCCTGCACCAACGTTTACATGTACAGCATTAGTTTCCTATATTGCAGAAGAGGAAGAAAAAGAAGTTCAAACATTATTTCTAGGCTCTTAACATTGAGTGTATTTTATGCCTCTGAGCATCATCATTCACATCTGAATTCCTGTATTGAAGTATTTCTTGCCTTCCTTCAGAAATATTACTAACGAACTATGTGCAATACCCAATGATACTAAATAATGTATTTATCATTTTTAGGCTTAATAAATGCTGATTTAGGTCTACAAATACAATAAGATACTATGATTCAAGACATAAAGACAGCATAGTTTTCTGTTCTCTTAGTAACATTACATTACCCTTTCCGTCACCAAAAGGGTGTAACTAGATGAAGAATGAAGTCACCCTATGTTCTGTTAATAGGACTAGGAAGAGGGGAAAAATCCAAACCTCATACATATTCATCTCTCCCCCCCAGTATCAGAAGAAATTCTCTCTCCATCATGGCAAGCACAATCCTAATGTAAGATTGCACAGGAAATTTATCAGGTTACCTATTCCCAAAATTAAGAGATAACACAGCTTAAGATGTAGTTTAGAAGAAACTTAAAGTAAGGCAGCCCATGTTAGTGCGTTTCAGCCAGTATTTCTCTTTTAAGGGTTTACCCAGAATCCTGGGAGTTAGAAACAGAGTCTCTTAGTTGTTAAAACTATAGCCCTGAACACACCCCTGAGACAACTGAAGGCTTGCACAACCAAAAAGCCCAATGTTATCACAGTGGGAACAAACCGTTTTCTAGAGAAGATTTCATTACTTACCCTATTTTTGGTAAAAAGCAAATCTATGGTGGCATCAGCAATGATATTCATCCGCAGTTCAAAAGCAAGAATCTGTCTTGGTTTCCCAGGCTGTGCAACTTCTGAGACTTTCATAACCTGGTAGTCTGGTGGGAAGAAAAACTTCCACAAGCAATCCCTAGTGAAAAATAAAAAAAGAAATATTTTTATTCATTCAAGGAAAAAAAAATATGTATTTATCACTTAATGGTTTACCAGTGAGCTGTGTTGCCAAGTCTTTAGAAACCAGCCTATAGGCTAAGAAAGGCATTTGTTTAAATCTTCAGAATTCTAAGATCTTCACTCTTCAACAGCAGGAAGTCTTCCAACTCATTACTGAAATCAAATTCCAAGTTTCAATGATGAGAAATGACTTTGAATAAGAGCCATAAATGGACAGGCCATAAATTACTTAAAGATATTTTAATTCAGAAAGCAAGTAAACTATGTTTTTCTTCTTCTTCCTAATCACTGGTTTACAGCCTACTACAGAAACATAATAGGAAGCTAGCTGTCTATGCTTGGGTTTGCTTATAAGTAATTCATGTAAAGCCCAGAAACACACAAAATGCAAACTGGTTAGGACTTCAGAATGAGAATGAAATGAGGTCTACATTTCTGCAAATTCAGATCTCAATACGTAACTACATGAAAGGAAACCCACAGCAACGGAGTAAAGACTGCACAGCTTATGTAGTTCTCAAAAGGCGAAATTTAGATATTTGAGGAGCAGGAGTTTCTGGGCACCGAGCATCTGACCACTGTAGCAGCGCAAAAGCTCAAGAAAAAGTCGAAGTCATTATATAGACATTTGTTAACACTAGCCTGGGGAAATTCAACATTTTATTACATGGAATGTTAAAGATTGGTATTTTTAGAAGTCCTTAGACAAACTGAAAGTACAAAATCCACAGAATTTCTACAGATCTGTGCTTCTAAAACACTGAGGCACTTTGCAAAATCCTATCTTCTACCCCCGGCATGGCAAGAGGATGTTCCCATATATACTCTGCACAGGCACCAAACTGCCTTTTATCTAACCGATTAAAATTATAAAAAGCATACCATCACAGAGCTAGCTTTCTTGGTAGTATTAAAAATATCATTCATGATTCCCTAGCTTCATGTTCCCAGCAAAGCACTGTTCTGGAAATGGCGTTCTCTTTTAAATACTATAATACTCTGTCAGGTGTAATGAATACTCTTGGTTTGCCATCTTTGCATTCCTAAGAGACAGTTAACTCTAACAGTTTCACAGGAGGATAAATGGAGGCCAAGAAAAGTATCAATCTGTAATTAGTAGAGGAAAAATGGGAAAGCACTGATTATGTCACTTCTACTTAATAATCTTTACTCTGTAAATAATCCTATTGTCTCCAACAGAAATACTCAAAAGCAAAATACAGAGGGCTAACTGAAAAACAACAGTAGCATTGTGGCCTAACATTTGTCACTAAAATATCTAAAAATGAATATTTTGGGGGACTGTATCCAGTGGTTGATTCTCCTCACCAGTGGTAAATGACTCCTCCTCATTATTTTCCTAGCCCGATTCATACATCTATAAATTTTCCTCTTTGATATACAGTGTATTTCCATCCATGAACTCTGAAGAAGGCAGCTACTAAGAACAACAGTTTGAACGTAAACAATTAAAAGATGAAATCCTTAGGTATCTACAGTTGATAAATAATAAAACTACTCCATTCACTAAGAAATAGGAAGCAAAGATATTAATTAAAAATTTATTATTTATGTCTATAAATTAATTTAAGAACAAACTCACTGAGTGGTCCTAACTTTGGAAGGCCAACACAGTAAACAAGGGTGAATTTACTAATCCTACAGCATCCTGCACCAGAGCAGAACTCTTACTTTAGACTCCCTGGTTTAACTCCTACAAATTAGAAGTCTGAGCAAACATATTATAGAAATTTCAGAACCTTTTCTTAACAATGAGAGATTACAGACTAAAACTGAAGATGTAAATCACAATACCACCTCTGCCTATCAGCCCAAGGTCCATAGTTGAAATCTGTTCCTTTTCCACAAACAATGTCCAAACCCCAACATGGTGGCAGATCCTGTAATTTGCTGTCTTCATTGTTTGCTTCTCCATCATTACTTTCCTCTGTCTCCTCTGGTACAAGACCTATATTGCATAATACAATAAACAGATTATCAAAGGAAGCTGTTTCAAATTAGCAGGAAAACTGTTCATTAAGCACAGCACAATTAAAACATTCTGATGTCAGTCTTATTTGAGATCACTGTAATAAGTATCAAGCCACAATTCAATGCACATTCCCCAGGGAAGGGAAAGAATATATGATCGAAAATCCTTAGGGTTTTCTAAAGTGCTGCTCACTGATGTCAGTGAAATGCTGACATACAGAGCAGAGTTTTATCCTTTAGATCTGCTTTCTGCCAATACAGGCTTTCATGCAACCATGTTCAGCTCTGAGTCCTACTTGCAGACCAAGTTTTGTATCAGATAAGATTAAATTAAAATCATCTCCCCAAACAATGCAAGCAGATGAAAAAAAGACTTGCTACAGTGGACCCAGAATTACTAGTAAAAATTCAAACATTTAGCAATGATTCCAAATAGTCCCCTATCCTGTATCAGTAAGCATCACTGACTGTTTTACCTCTCGGCTCAAGAGGTTCTCCCATGCCTCCCCCCCACCTGCACTCTAACATTTCTCTAGTGCCACTCCAGGGTTCCCAGAACACTTCAAAAATGTTACTCTTGGCCCGTTTTTCTATGACACTGATGTGCTTTCCCATAACATTCCACCTAAGCCTTTTGCTTCTGGCTAGTTAAAGAAAGAAGTATTGTCAGTCCACTAGTAAAAGTGAGGGAAGGGAGGAAGTGATACAAAACAATACAGTACAAAATAACTGAGCAGTTCTTACAGTAATAAAAGGGATACGCTTTAGCTGGGCAGACCGAAAGAGAGTCTGGTGGTATTACAAGAAATCAGACGATGTCCAGTGCCTCTCCCTAGAACTGCTGTCACTACAGGACCCTACCTGCCGTATTGAACAGGCAGTCTTGTTACCACCTGACCCACTAAGAACAGACATTTCACAATATCCAAGGAAAGACATCCTAAAACTTCACACTAATTAAGAACCAGTTGAGGGGAAATAAGGAACCCATAGGATACAAACAGCTCATTTTGCCAGAAGCTCTTCAAGAGCCAGCTGAATCAGCAAAGGAGGAGACTGAAATAAGCCCTTTAAAAGGGCCCTTTAAAGAAGCACAAAGTTGGAAGGATGGGGTGGATATCAATCTTTCTCAGGGCCATCTGCAACACCTCATTCATTTTATCCTCAACTCCAAAATTAATGAGAAAACCAAAGAGGCATGGAGCAGTAGATTTCTCATTTTGATAGAGGGTTTTGTTTGGCTGGGGATTTTACAGCAGAGTGGGGGAGATCTCTAGCTGATAAAGAAAACATCTGAGCACAATAAAAGCAAAGAGTATATTAACCAAAAAGAACCCAAGCACACATTCCAGACAATGCTGTAAAAGATTCTGCAGACAAAGAAAAAAACCATACATAACACCAACACCCCAGCAAAATAAAGTGGGAATATAATGCACTAGATTCAAAATAAAGAAAACAGACCCTGTGATACTCAGAAATCAATACAATCAAATACACTTTCCAAAAACCCAGTAATAAGTATTGACCACTTTTTCTCCCCAGAAATACTTCCAGAAACCTACATCACTTAAGTTTATAGCTTAAAACAGAACTTGTTGCAAGGATAAACAGCCAAATACAAGATTAATTGCTTGCATGTTACATATAGTCACACAGAAGGCACTGCTGACAGAGTGCCCACATCTATATAACACCGTTCACCTATATAAACATGTATAGTTTTATCATTTCATCCTTGGAATTCTCCAGGACCTTAGATGATTAACTAATCTAAAAAGCTTACAATCACCATTAAAAAAGAACATGGCTCAAAATTTCATGTCTACACTAAATATGTAACACATCAGCTCTCTCCCATCTGTCTCAGTCAAAACTGTTTTTTCCATTTGCAGAAAAAACAAAGGATGGATTTAGTAAGTAATACTTAAGAATGTTCTTATTGACTCCAAAATATTATATTAACTCTATCCGTCTAAAGATGCAAATGGACCAACTCCCCCTTATTTTTCAGCATGAAAGAAAAAAAAGTTGTCTAGCAAATCTAGACAATGAAATAAATAGCCCTCAAATCCCATCAAAATATTTTTTATTTAACAGAAGATACCTGGTTCATCCATATAGTAATAGATATCAACGTCATTGGACTGCATTACAACAAAACCTTCACCCATCAGCCTTGGTGGTCTGTAAAGAAGAAAAAAAGTGCAAATAGAGAGATTAAGAGATGCGCTAAGATGAATCTTAATGAATTCAAGCACTTAAATGGAACGTGTTAAGCACAATGCAAGAGATTACATAGGTCAGGCTCACTTCTAGCTTACAAGTAGTGCATATCTAACCTTGGAATCATCAATAAAACTGCCAACAATAATTTACCATTATTATTTAACTCTGTTCAGCAAAAATGTAATGGGCAGCAAAAGACACTATTTGTAACAGTGGGGATACAGCGTATGTGGTTTCTGACCTGGAAGATTTTGCGGGCAAGGCTCAAGTTTGAAATGATCCCAAGACACCAGCTCCACATGTCCACTGCCCTTGCCAGCATTCTAACTTGAGACTGACACAAGAACGACAGGCTATACCTTATCTACTAGGTATCAGTCTTATCACCACAAGGGTGGTTAGAATCTAGGGAAGCGCCTAGGTTAGTCACAGCACGCCAGAGCCTGCCCACATGCATCTGTTTTTAAGCAAATTTAAAGTACAAGTGATAATTCCACTTCTCTCTTTCCCTCCCTGTCACAGCTGCACTTCCCAGTCGGTCTACTTCCTAAGACTCAGTGAACTTCTGAAAGTGAACATTGTGAATACTCGGTCTATCTGGCATCAAGTTCCCTATTAAAAAGCCAGCTGTCATATTGCTAGCCTATGTTTACCCTCATCTGAAAGAGGAAAAAAAAACATATGTTGTTGCTCATTATACAATTATTATTACTACATAAAATAATTCACGGATTTAGCTAAAAATCAAACTTTAAGGTACCATGTTCATCTTTGCACAAAGACATTTGTCATGTATTATAATCCATAATCAGATACTGAAGTTCTACTTTCAGTGTTTCATTTCATGAAGAGTTCCTTTCTCCTTGTCCTATATCATGTTCTTTTATCTGCTATTTTTTTTTTTTTTTTTACACACTAAAATAGCACTCTGAACCACAGGGACAAGCCATCTTCAGTAATTAGACCATTAGAAAAAAAAAAATTGCTCTTCTTTCTTAGTAACATACAAGGACCCAAATAGTAAAACCATTAGATGAAACACTTCTAACACTATTATATTAATATAATGCATTTCCTTTTTTACAGTATTGCCATATCTTAATTCACATATTTACTTCACAGTTTCAGTATAGTTATAGCAAGGGCAGAAAGCAGATGCTTTTTCCTCACTTTCCAGCCACTTTTATAAGCTTGCACTACTTAAAATAAGAAATTCCGATGACAAAAATATATGGTCCAAGACTCATCTGCTAAAGTACGTTACTCATTTTACCACACCTCATTTCAAATGCAGGCAACCTTGGAAAATAAAGAAGATAGCAGATGCAGAGCTCACGTATCACAGGAAGTTCTTCAAAAGCAACAGAGCGGGACATTTGAAATAAATTTTACTTTGAGAGTAATGGCAGCAGTGAAAGATGAAATACTTTCTACTCACTCCTAATTTTCTAGTCATTTCATTTTTCTGTCTAAAATTGAAGTAGCCTCCCCAGGAAGATGCAAATAAAACAAGATATGAAAAAAAATCCATTCAGCAGTCCATGAATAGAAGTGGGAAGAAAAAAAAAAGTTAGATCTATAGAAATATTAGTTTATGGAGAGTTTATTCTGCCTGCACTCCAGAACAGTCGCACATAAACCAGCAATAGACTGAAAAGCGCCCTACTGCATAGCCCAGCATGTACACTAGCATCTTCAGCTGCTCAAGCTGAACATACCATCAATATGGACTTAAAGGAAGCCCTTCTGCTTCGTACTGTGACAGAAGAGAAGCTCACAGCATAACCTACTGCATACGTCAGCACCAGTAACTTCTCTAACCACTGCAGTTATCTGCTATTGTCCAACAACATCCTCAGTGGGGCAGGTTTTGGCAGGCAAAGTCTGCATCTTATTTAAGAAGCTTGGTATCTCACCACGAGGGTCAGCCAGCTGCAGCTTAGGGGGGCCTGTATACAAAGGCAAATTTTACCCCCTTCTGTTCTATATAATACGCATTTTACTCTATAAAGTACAGGATACTTATCCCTTTTTCATGAAGGGCACTCCTAGACTCTGGCACAGAGAGGGAACAGTTCTTGAAGCACTCTGCACATTTGCCTAGGACTACAGAAATACCCTAGAGAAAATTACATTACTGTTTGAACAAAAATTGCTATAATTGTATACTATAAATGCACATGGTGGATTTAACAGTTGTTTACTTTTGCCTTCCTAATAGCGTTTACTCATACAGGCCGAATGTCTTAGATTAAAGCTTAAAACAAAATTATTTCAAAAATTATTTTGAGGTAAGCCTTGCTTCAGGACAGACAATTTCATTTAAACAACTCCACAGTCAACAAATCTGTAAAGGACACTGCAGCGCGGCTGTGGGAAAAGAGGAAAACAGTCACAGGAAAGCTTCAGTAGCTGACAGAAGGGCCAAGTCCTCCAGTCAAATGTTATTTTTGTGTCATCCTCTTCATCTTTGCAATACTCCACTTTCTGAAGAGAGGTTATGAGTTCTTACATTAAATAGAAGTGAAAGGGGCCGGGGTGGGTGGGAGAGACATGGACCACATGGTAGTTAAACTTCTCTCCCAGTCTTTCTTCTGCAGTTCTTTCAGTATACCTTTACCATGTCCGCATATTCAAATAGTAATAAAACCCTTCCCTTTCTTGCTTTTGTTCTGATCTGAGTTTATTATACTTGTGTTGTTTGCCCGTTTTTCCAATCCACTTTCATATACGAAGAATATTATCTTCTGAGTTGTACCTTGTCCTGAGTTTTGTTGATTCTCTTTTTAAAAAGAATAGGAAAACAGAGTAGCTGACTGAAGCAGTTTATCATTCTATGTTACTAAAGAAAGCAGAGGCCACAGCATACATAATACAGCAGCCAAAAACAGCAGCTTTTCCTTTCCCAATACCTTTCCTTATACTAGTCTAAGGCTGGTCATAGGTTAGGTTATAACAGACAGGTGGTAAACCCAGGTATGGCACCGATCAAAATCAAAGACCAAATTTTTTTTTTCCCCCTCCCCCTCAGTAATGATGAATTGCATGATCAATGCAACCAGAAACCCCTTCACAGGCCATTTATAAGAACAGGTTAGACAATGTCGGTATCCTTCATTATCAGACTTTTCAATGTCTGCTCTAAACTTCCACTTTGAGCCTGCTGATTTAGTTACAGGTCTCCAAACTTCTCTTCTGTTTTGATCTGCTTTACCTTGCATAGTTTTTCTGTTGAATTTTAGAGTATTTGTTCAGAATGAAGCAATGGAGGTGCCACTTTTGTAATAAATGTTTGTAATAAGTATGACAATCGTCAAGGTTGCTTCTTGGTATTTGTATTTATTAGTCAGTCTGTTAAAAATTGCAGTCATTTAACTGCTTTTATACAGGCTTTGCCTGTAGGAACTTCTGCAAGACAAGACAGCTTAATTTTTAAACCTAAAAAGCACAGGAGGGCAGGCTCTAAAGATTCAAGCATCCCCAGTTTTCAGGGAACTGGGTCACTTGATGCATCTACACAGTAAACTAGGACACACGTTCTCTGCACACATGCTGTCCTTCAGCCATTAGGAGCTATAGGACAGTAACAATGGAAAAGGAAAACACTCTGAAGAAGTAGGAGAGAAAGCTAGTAGCTTGAGTATCTTAATCCTACTTTGTTTTAATCTTGTTAGTTCATTTTCAGTGTTAGTTGAAGAAACTTCCTTTGTCATCGTGTTCAGAGAGTGAAATTCTATATATGCCCACAGAGTAATATCTAAAGTTGAAAACATAAACGTGTACTACAGATGACAGTATTTGGTTGATACAAAGTCAGTGTACATAGAAATGCACTACAGTTTACTTCCAAACATAGTAAGTCCTTCTCTGCATATTATTGTTTAGGACATACATGAATAGGTGTAATCATTTTACTTGAATTCAAACACAAAATTGTCCACGGATAGTATATATTATTTACATATTTTAATTGAGTAAACAAAAAGACTGTAGAAGACTGAAAATTACCAGCTTTGTCTGAAGATCTGTTGAACATATAACACTGTAAGCACTGAAGAAAATAATACTTCAGAAGGACCCCAACCTCTCAGGCACACTGAAAATTCTGCCTGTGTGTTCATACTGAATCAATCCAGAATATTAATACAGTACGAGCATCATAAAGGTCTAGCTGGGTAAAGTATATCAAACCACTTCATGCAAATACCCTTACTTTTATTTCATTTACTGTTACCACACCATTTGTTAAAAGCTGAACAACACTGGCTGGTCAAGGAATAGAATATACAGAAGTAAACAAATCAGTAATCTGTATTCAAAAGATAATTTATTTATACTATAGCAAGTACTGTGCAGCTTTTCCTTAATTTTTTTAAAGACAACTTTCCAAACTATATGCTGATCAGCTCTACAGAAGCCAACACCTTAAGCCTTGTATTTATCCTTAAAAATTGTTGACAAAGCCTGTGTGCAGCTGTAGTACCTGACTGAAGGAAAATAACAATTTAATGCAGAATATTAATCAGAAGAGCAGAACACACAAAAATAGAAATACAGAAAAATATAATAGAACATTTTCTGTATAGGAAATACAGAAAAACTATAGTAAGAAAGAGAAATAGAACTCTTCTCTGTAAATAAAGTAGGTTCAAAGATCCAACATTTAAAACTTCTGTAGGGGTAAAAATGCCATCTATCTAAATGCAACAAGAAAAAAAAAAGTCACAGAAACACAATCAATATCCTTTTCTTGGTTTTCTTAAAATAAAGTACAAAATTATAAAGGAAGTAAACAATAAAGTATCTTACTCATCATTTTGAAGACCAACGTATCTTGGACTTGGAACCAGCATGACTCTAACATTTTCCAATTTTCCTTTCACAATGTGCATAAACTGATCAAGGTGACTAGAAGGTGGTTTTGTGGTGTAAGTCAAAAAAGCATCATCAAAGTTGATACAAAGTGTTTGTGGCTGATAATGATTCCCAAATGCCAAGCGACCCTAAATTAAAAAGAAAGGCCAATTACTCCAATTATGCACTGCTTTGTTTATATAATTTACCTATAATAATACAGATCAACCATCCTTATGCAAGTAAAGGCTGTGAACAAAAATGCTCGCCATAATCTGGGCATAACTAAGATTTTACCTCGCATATTCAAACACTCAATATTTTACCTCCTATGACCTCATTAACAGTTTCTTTGGCTTTTTTATAGGCTTTTTTTTTTTTTTTTAAATAGGCAGCACTAACTTAAGGAATGCATCTAAACATCCCTACTGAAAGATGCAGAGAAGCAAAAGAATTTCTATAACACACAGTGCCCAGTTTAATTAGTTGATGATATTCTTGAAATCACTGCAAGTCTAACACACAAGTATTACCAACAAAAAGGGAATATTAGCATGTTTCCATGAGCACCAGTAGGATTTGCGACTGGGTCGGGGAGGTAGCAAGGGAGGAAGAAGTGATATTTTTAGAATATTTTCTTAAGGCATGAAGGAAAATAAAAACTCAAAAAGAACACATAATTAAATGAATTGCAAGCCTGACTTAAGAATATACCGCTAAAGGTGTTCATTATTAGGGACTCTTCACTTACCGTGCTCACATTGACTTTAATGACAGGAATAAGGGACCTCCATGAAGAAGAAGGGTCTTGAGATTCTGTTTTTACTTTAACACTAGAGGGGGAAAAAAAAAAGTCTGTGGTTTGTGTGTAGGTTTTTTTTTTTCTTTAAATAAATTATTTTGCCTTTTCCACAGAAGAACTAGCTAGCCTTTTCTGCTACAAGACTTCAGCTCTTGGGGAATGCTCCTTCCCACAGGAGTCCCTCTGGTAAGGTACCTGCTAGCGGTCTACTGCAGAATCCTCCAGAGCCTGAAAGAGCAGCAGGAGGCAGATGCAGCTAAGCCTTGGGTGCTTGTATACTGTGAGTTGACACAGCTAGAAAACAACGGTGTCTTGTTTAACACAGAGCAATAACGAAATAAATCTTCCTTGGGGGAATCTTGGCCTGTTCTAAATAGTCCTTGAACAGTCCTTTTAAGTCTTTGGTGTGGTTTGTCACTTTCCAAGACATATCCTTCCCAAATGTGCAAGTCCTGTGCTGTACCTGTCAGTAAGGATGTAAGAGCACAACATGAAGAGATTGCCTCACGGGCACAGCCCTTACACAAAATCAAGGCTGCCGCACCATGCTGCAGCGGCCTACTATGTAATTCTGCCCTAGCCAAACATATTGGCCTAGCCAAAAGCAGTGAAAGGACTGAAGTCTCCTTTGTTCTCCTCTACTTCTGCCCATGCAGCACTGCTTGGTATGATTCTGCCCAAGGAGAGGCTTATCACCGAAATCTGACTCCACTATACATGAGCCACGTAAAGGAACTCTCTGCATCCCTGCACTATATGTTCTAGAGCACTCAAGAAAAAGAAATAAAATTATTAAGGAAGGAAAAAAAAAAAATCCATCTATACACCAACACACACCCCTAAAAACAAAACCCAAGAAATCAGCCTAAGCTTAAAGGTGGAAAACCAGTAAGTCCTCCCAAGACCATATAGAACCTCACATTTATCCTGTCTAATCGATGCCTCGAGCAACTATTAATTCTACGGAGCAATTCCCCTACTATTCTGCAAATATAATCTCTTTCATCACATCCTCCCTTTCTAGAGATGTGCTTGAAATTGAGTTTTCAATCTGTCTCTCATCTTTGAACGAGAATATGCAGGGCAGTTGGCTTTTGGGTTTTTTTTAATCATTATAGTAGGAAGTTTGAGGGAAGGAGAAAGAGATTCAGACTGTCAGGAATGTCAGTGCAATTTCTCTCAGCTATGCTTAAACCATTCAGCTGCTACAGCATATGTTAACAAAACATTACCCAGTTTGATGCTTTGTTCTGAGAAGTGCTGAACTAAGTATCAAAAGGAACAACAGTTTACCTTTCAAGATTGGTATGCCTTCTCTGTCTTCCATTTATTTCTGCTTTTTCGTCTTCTTTCTTTGCTGGAATTATTGTGGGATCCAAGCCAAACAGTTCTTGAAGTTGTCCATAGAGTTCAGAACGGTTATACACATGAAATTCAAAGTCATTCACCATAATATACAGTCTTGTTTCTGCCTTTGGATCTGAACAAATAGTAGAAAAAGAAGGGTTTCTAGTTTAACTCTACCAGTCCCCTACAATAACTACAATTTTTCAAATAGACACATGCTTTGCGATAAGAATCTATAGGGTAGCAAATAGCTGCTGAAACACATACTAAAAAGCAGTAAAAAAAAAAAAATCCCAAAACACACACACACACTAATTACATTGTTCTAAGCAAACCAATAAAGCTTAGCAGACCAAGTTGTATAAGAAATATAACACCTGAAGGGCATTTCACTCTTAGGTCACAATCCAAAACTAAATCCAGGTAGGAATTGCACAAAATGGTAAGTGAGGGTTATTTAGTGTCATATATAAAAATAAACAAAAATACTATTAATGTACAGCACAGAAGCCTCAGTGGCAACCTCTGTTTTTCTTTTTTAGTACAGATAGCAATACTCGAGACTGAATAGGTCTCAAAAACTGAATGGTCTTCCAGCCAAGCTCTGTGATACAGAAGGCCTGAACTAGAGGAAGCCCAGAGAGAAACAGAAAATATTAATCTGCAGAGCTAACATGACTTTATATAATCAATCAACACTTTCACAAATTTTAAGTTTTAGCTAAAACATCAACTTCCCTTTTTTAAAACTTAAAAACAAGTTTAATACTGATTACATACAGAACCATGACATACTTTGACTTATTTTTGCCTTAAGATAGTATGACCTAATTACGTAGTTAATGTGAGAAAAAGCTCACACAATTTCCCCATAATTACCTAGTTAAGAGAGTGCCCATTACATATTCACTCAAGAGACCTGAGCTGCTCTAAAATATGATCTGGTCTAAGTCAAACATACTTCAGGAAGCTGAAGTATCAGTGTCTGTTACAGCAGTTCCCATCCTGTAACTCATGGAGAATGAGCTGAAGGCAACACTACTCTCAGACACAGGAAATTAAGAAGTTAGAGCTAACACTGCTACTGTCACACCTAGAAGAAACGCAGCAGCCCATAGTGTATCTGCCCAAGAGATTAAGTTTGGAGACATCTGCTTTATTATCTGAATTTTCTTTGCTAACAAACTCGCCTGTCGTCTGAAGTTACCTATCTACACAGTAAAATGTTCCCAACAAACATAACCCACTCTTCATTCCTCAAATCTAAATTACCACAGCAATCTCCATAACATTATTTAAAAAAAAAAAAAAGGTAAATTTCAGTGCTTTCTGGAGGCTCATTATACATCGCAGCTTTCTTGAACAAGAGACAGAGAAAGGTTAATGAGACAGTTTCAGTTCCTTCCTGGTTCTCATGAAGGCGTACTTCCTATCAAATACATTCACTGGCAATGTTAACATGCATGAAGAAGATAACAAGCAAAGGATGATATACTCAAACACTGAAATATACAATTATTCACCCAGGAGATCTCAGATTCGCCAAGAACTTACATAAATGTATTTTTTAATTCCCTAGAGGCAGTTATCTGACTTCATTTACTAAATGAAATTACATGCACTAATTCCTTTATTTAAAGGGAGATTTAAAAAAAAAAATATATCTTTTTCTTCTCAATCATAAAAATAAGATTTGATCTCTTCTCCATACCTCAATTTATCTGCCTGAAACATTTTTGAAAAAGCAAGGAAGTAAAGAGAAGAACACCTGAGTATCATAGACTTAAATAATAAAAAGCAGCATGTACATATGTCATAAAAGAAACTATCAGACTGATACCAAAATACTGAAGTTTTTTCAGCATTTGTGGAAAAATCAAGGTGACTGAGGCAGTTAAGGTTTTGACATGTGCCTTCCAGAGTTTAATCAAGATGTATTATTCTTTACAAAACTCAGAATTAATCAAATGTTTATATCACACCCATCCAGATAATACAATATTAATACTCCCACTAGATATAGCATTTCATCAGAGGTTTTATAAGATACTATCTGTGCTGTTTAAAATGAAATATGATCATTAAGCACTCATATGAACTGGCAACAGTTACTCCTTTCTGTAACTTAAAGTGAGCTAAGCCTGCGTACAGGGAAGCAGCAAAGAGGATTTCTTCACCGGATGTGAGAGCGTTTTTGCTCGTTTCTTTAAGAGCTTAGTTAAGAAAGCCAGAAGAGTTCTGTGTGATCAGCTGTGACTTAGTGAAAGCTAATGGGAACACGAAACAAGCCACTACTGACAATATTTAAAAAGCAGAAGTGGTTCTCAGAAGAGTGTTTCTCCTTCCAAAAGGGCCTCTCAAATTGTACTATAATTTTGCAATATGAAAACTGATAATTTTGCTGTAGTACCTAAGCAAAGACATCTGGGGTGTGCCCTACTGGCAACACATTCCTCCCACTTTATTCCTAAGTTACTTTAATTTCTCAAGTACATACAAGTTCATTCTCAAGTCCCAGAATGGCTTAACTTAACTTTCAACGGAGGAAGATAATCCACATACTTGACATCTTCTGTGGAGCTCTTCCAACACTAGTATGACAAACATTGGTATGACAATACAAATATAGTACAAACATACTGTCATGATGACAAATGGACTGCACTTGCTAGGTCAAACTGAAGAACTTTTAAAACCCCAACAGCACATGCAACTTTACTATAGGAAAATCAATAATAAATATCCAAACATTCTGCAGTTCAAACCTTCTCTTCCGCAAGTAACACAGATTAACTCTTACGAGAGGCGTGCTTAGATTACAGTGCAAGACAGTAGCATTTACTTTGATTCCTGTTAGACATGCATTAATTTTGATATGTTCGTGTCCACCCTCTCAAAAAAGTGAATTTATCTCACGACAAAGTATTTCTCTTAACTTTAAAACAAACATGGAAAAGACAGAATGCAAAGCATTATTACTTTCCTTTTTCCTGACAACGGTTTAATAGCTATGTCTCCTCACACCCATCTCTGCAATCTACCCTTTGATTATAAAGTTCAACAGGAAGAGGACACCAAAAGGACTCGCAAAGCACTAACACCACAGAGCAGTAAGCCATTCACTGAGTATCATTAGACCTCTCTTTCCTAATAACCTTCATCCTTCTCCAAAAGGCTTCGGACTCTGCTTCTCTCGTGTTTTTGCTTCTTCCTATAATCTCACGAGACTTGCAAAGTCAGTGGCTCTTCGCAAGTCAGCAGTGACTGGCAGGCACTACCACGCTCTTCAGCTTATCAGGAAGAAGGTCAAGAAGCTATTTGATTAGAGCACAGATTCCACAAGCATGTGGAACAACACTCAATTGTTCTTACTTAAAGGAGTAAGAAGTTTGGAAGCTGAAGTTAAAATCAAGGTTGAGTCTAATTCTCAGCATCACGAACAGTTTTACTTTGGAATAACTTACCGAACATGCAATGTACTTAATATCACTCAATCTTTTTTTAAAAGATCACTTGTCTCACTTCTGAGGAAAATTCTATAGCTTAAGTGGGTTGGATGACCATGGAAGCCCTTTCCAGTCCTAGAATATGTGAATACCTGACTGAATTTCTATTCATTCTCTTTCCCCAAGGCCAGTGGGGAGTACGCCAGCCAACCTTCAGGACGTTCCTTCAGGAGATGGGGACGTATACAAACTTCAAGCACAAATTAAGGAAGACGGCTTTCAGAAAATTAAAAGTGTCCCAGTGCTGAAGTCCAGCTGCTTGCTTACATTTCTAACAGTACTGAAAATTAGATTACCAAATAGAGTCTTCTATCAAATCAGTTGATGTCATGCACAGATGCTCACCTGGAATAACCTGAAAAGGAGCTCCCACAGGGAGGCCTCCAGTTATTTCAGGATCCACAACCAGCCTCCCCTTTTTGCACAAGAACAACCCTCCTCCAATACTCTTAATATGTCACAGGAAAAATAGAATGAGACCACAGTATTTCTGCACTAACAGGGCTTTAAGTACATCACCACCATTAATGACAAAACTCCCATTATTGTAGCATTTTACTTTATTGTTAGGGATACCCAGCACTTCCATTGCAGAACAGGAATAAACACATAAAACCCACAACACCAAATGAGAAACTAACATTTATTGCTTAGATGCAAGTCCTCAAAAGTGTGTTTTTTCAAGCAAAAATATTAAAAGATTCAAGGTTTGTGTTTTTGCAAGAATCTGGTGGGTTCTCCTTTTTAATAGTATTAGAACGCCCAGTTCAGTCTACCCCTTTTCCTTTTAAAAGCAGCTCAGCTGTATTTTGTTTTACCTTTTATTAGAGACCTGAAACAAAGCTCTGAATCAGTAATGTCTAGCTACAGCAGATTTTCCAGTCACTCTGTAGAACAGCTGCAAAAGTAATCCTCGAACAAAACAGAGGAAGCTTCAAGATGAAATTTACTATCGGACTTCGCAATTTGTTCAGGTACAGATATTTCTAGCAAAGCACTTGGAAAAAAACACTTACAATAGACTAAGAACCATTGAATATTTTATTTTTCCTTTAAGTTAAAAAGTAAAGCATCTCTGCTAAATAATCAAAAATAAAGTGAGTAAGGTTATTTTCTCTAGGAACAAAAGTAATAATTTAAGAGAGTATTTTCTTCAGACTATTTTGCTGCCAGACCTATACACTTCTGATTTCCACTATTACTTGGATTATTTGCCCACAAATTAGACTGTCTTAAATTCCAGCAGAAACAGCTAAAGCCTTGTAATACAACCAGGCAAAAATACCACCACAGATGACAGACATAACTATTTCTATTGCACTAAGTTAAATTAATTTTGCATTCTATGAGCCATTAGAGAAATGTATTTTAATTAGCAAATGAAGAAAATTCTATGAAAACCTGTTGGACAACAACTGTGACTAAGAGAACCTAATTAACTTTATGACTAGGTTCCACTTTCTGAACAAGTCTTCTTACGGTAAAGAGAACTTGAATAACACATTATCACCTTAGAAGGCTCATTAAAATGCAATGAGCAAATTTTCTACTTACTTCAATATTTTCGAAAGGTGTCTTAAACACCTGCATAGCATAGGTATACAGCACTCTACCACTGCTGAGTTGGTACTGACAAAGTGGCAGCGGTATAAGCTTTCTGACACATTTGAACAGCTTCACATCATCAACGGAGACTGCTTCCAAAGGGAAAAACAAAAACAAAACAAAAAAGTCCCTCCAAAGTTTATGGACCTCCCCAATAAGTGCCCTCCTCCCTAGTCGCAGCTACAGACAGCAGCCACGATTTCTGGCTGTGATCTGCCTTGATCCCTTTGAATTAACAGAATTGCGATGCTTCAAAAGCCAAAAGAGGCAGAACTTCAGTCACTCGTAAGACTAGATTCTAATCCTATAAGTCTAAGTACATATAACAGGCTGTTTACGTTAGCTCACAGTGCTTTTGCAGATACAATTAATCTCTTATCAAGTGACAGGCCTCCTATTCCAACCATAGAGAAGGAAGAAAACAAAGGAGTTGCTCCACACTTCCCCATCTGACCACAGATGTCACTAAAACATATGGTTATCAAACACTAAAGAACATCTCTTACTCTAACACCGTTGCTAAAATACTGACAACACAACAGTTAAATTTGAAAACTAATGTCAGTTTCCAGAATATTTCCTAAGTCTCTAATAATTTATCCCAGTTTAAAACTTCAGCACAGAATCAATTATGTTTGGATTACAGTTAAGGAAGACTACTGTTACGGTTAATAGTGTTTGTCTCAAGAAACGCCCTGATAATTAATCCTGTATGTATTGCACTGTGTCGTACAAGTCTACTAACATAGATCAGGCAGTTAAAAAAACCCAATACCTTCAGATTGCTCAGTGTAGTTCAGGTACACAACAACAGATCAGTTATATACATACAATTGTGCAATTGAAACATTTTCTGTAGGCTGTAACTTAAATTTAAGCTTTCAAAAGTTCTTGAGAAGCCTACCATGCTGTTTCTGCTTGGGGTTGTACATCTTCCACCAGCGAAATATGATAAATCCATCTTGGATTCTAAATTGAATAAATTAGATAAAATAGAAGTTACAGAATTATTAGCTCACACTCCTATGTGCAGCTGCATGACATGCTGCCTTAGATACCGCAAAGATCTGCGGTTTCAGTACTGTATAAGCAGTATTAAAGCATATACAAAACATTAATGCCTTATAGTGCAATATTATACTAGTTACTGCATTAGCTGAACCTGTGTGTAAGCCCTTAGCCATTGCCTTCTGAAGGCTTTCCAACTGCAACAGTAAGTCAAAATTGCAAAATATTTGTTAGTTTGTAGTTCACGTAACAAATTATTCTGCATTTCATTAAATACATGCAATCCACTTGGCCAAAATAGATCTTCAAAACTTAAGAATGGAAGTATGCAGGAGTGAAAGCTGTTAATACAAAACAATTCTCCTTCAAATTCTAAAATGTTTTCTTTTACAAATATTAAGGGCAACTAGAATCTTATCCAGTATCCAAAGTTTCAATTGATAATGCTCAATAGCAAATCTGTACCTGATAGACATGTCTTCTGTGATGTAATAGATTTCACGAACCATGACTTTTCCAGACAGCACAGAGAACGAGAAGGAACCTATTGCAAAAGAAAGTGTTTATAGGACATTAACCTGAAGCCGATGACACTATATTCCCCCCATCAAGAAAATAAAGTGTTCAAGAATCCTGAAATGGGTTTGCTGGATATCTTGATTTTTCCCTTTGAAAACACTGACTTTCAGAGGAAAAGGGAAGTCAGAAATTCAGAACATGCAAGACAAAAAAAAGTACACAAACCTAAAAGGTGCCAGGTCTGCCATCATCCAAGAATACAACCAGAAACACTAGTCTCAAAAATTCACTCCAAAATTCAGATGCCTTGTCAAGTTTGTCAGAAGACTTTGGAAAGCTATTTTGAACGTTTATAGGATCAAGCCATTGACTGTCTAGAGGGTAATTAGAGAAATAAAAGTTCCCAACTAACAATTTTTTCAAATGGCTATCAAATCAGCAGTCCAATTCCTTTGACAAGCTGTGTTTACAGGAGGAAGGGATCAATAAGTACCAGCATGTAACGCAATAACCCATATTTTTCCTAATGCTTTTCACTTCATTCACAAAACATTTTTTAAAATATAATCAACATTAATCAATTGATCTAAAACTGTAAATGAGGTTTAATGTTATGTTTTTCTTACTGATTAAGTTTATAAAAAAAAAAACATATATTTGGCCAGCTATTTCCAACTGTCTTTACTTAACAGCAATTTCACAGACAAAAATTTTAATAGAAGTCTGTTGATCAAGTATAGCAGCCAGTATATCAGCTATATTACTGTTCCAAAAAAGCTGGATTTGAAGACAAATTCAAATTTGGAACTAATTTGGAAGGCATAAGTAAATTAATGCAGCTGTCTCTTCAGAGTGGGCGGGGGGAAGCATTGAAGTTTCTACTGCACTTACGAGTAATAGTTGCAAAAGTCCAGAACTTTAAAAAAAGTCATTCTGGGAGGCAGAGAGATGCAGGCATGAAAGAATAAGCAACAGGAAAATTAAAAGCACAATCAGAGCACAGTTGTGGGATATAGCCCTCTGTGACTCAGCATCAGATATTTTTGTAATGTGGGCGAGTGCCCAAGTGATTTATACTGACCTGTTTTATTCAAAATGCTTTAAATTAAAAAATAAATAAAGAAGAGTTAATGGATTTTGATGCAAGTGTTCTAATCAGTATAAATCCTGCATATTACAGTCCCAGTAAGGATTCACAGGATTAGCTGTTCTGACAGCTTATTCAAAAAGCAAGGACACTGGCATAATAAGGAATCAAGGCTTAAGATTGCCCTGTGCTCCTTTGAGCCCAGACCAGCAGCCACCATCCACACTTCTGATACAGTGGAGCCAGTTGCACAGGTGTGGGGAAGTGAGAAGCTGTGCCCCTCAACACCAAATTACTGGGCAGATTCAAAAACCACTCAGACAGATTCCATTGGGAGCTCAGGTCAGTCTTCTCTTTTAGAAGGCTGACCATTATGATATGAGGGCTTTGAGAAAGAGATAAAGGAGAACTCACACATTTACATAATGTATACAGACTAAACAGGAAAAAGTACACCTAATTTAGAATAAAACCTGTCAAGTTAATTTTACTATAGAACACTGAGGAGTTCAAAAAAATTGGGACAGTATTAGCAGCTGGGGGGCTTCTACCTACACTAAGAACTATCTCCAAAAGCGGAATATCAAACTTTTTCCTTTTTACATTAAATCCATGCCAATAAATTAGTATAATAAAGGAACATCTTGATTTTACCTAGAGTTTTTGGCAAATTAAGATGCAATGAAAAGCAATAGATACACACACAATTGCATTTTATTAATCATAACTTACCAATATGGATGTAGCCATGTTTATATAATCTGTTAAGAACCAATGTTAAAATAAGTCCAATGTTCCGGGAATTATAATAAGTTAGGTAGATAATCCATCCGCAAGACAATATTGTCGCTGTTGAAAGATTAAAATGAATTAAAATATTTTAAAAGGAATGCTGACCTAGATAAAAGCCTTACCTACCAAGACCACAAAGCACAACAACGTTCTTCCGAGTCTCCAGAAAAAGTCTGGAGCTGATGAGACTTTAACTTGTGTCTTGGGAGAGATGGTGCAAGAAGGGTGGGGGAAGAGGAAATGGGAAATTCAGAAAAGTATATAGATCCTTCATCGTTCTTCCATTCTCGAATTCATAAGTTTGACCTACAGAGGGCCTCCAAAGGGCACCACACATTTAATTGTCATCTCTTACCTTCCAAGAAGTTAAATTTCATAGATCAAATTACAATAAGCATTATCCCATTCATAACCATTTATGTTAAAACATCCACAAAGGACCTGCAGAAGTCATGCTACATTTCTTTGCCAACGCTCTCCAAAACACAAGCTCTAATAAATTTCTGGCCTTTCATATGTTAGCTCAGGAAAGTTTAGTATCACATTTGAAACAATATCTTACGCTGCATTACTCTGAGGAAGAAAAACGTATCATCCCTTGGGTTAGCAGAAATATATTGCACTGTCAACAGTTCAAGCATGAAATTTGTTCGGGAGAGGGGTAGGAAAAAAATTAGGTCTGCTAATCCCCAAAGTAATTTTTACTTCAGCTGATTAAGATCTAATAACCTATTTCTAACTATAAGAGTTCTCAAAGCTTCCAGAAGGACAAACTCAAAAGGAACAGGACTTCCAGGGAACGGACTAGTTCAAATACACTTTCTTGATAATTACAAATAAATTTATTTAATATAAAACAAAGTAGGAAATAAAGCCATGTTTTTATTGAAGGTAACTGTATTCATTACGCTAACTGAACTTTATACCAAACGCTTTTCATTTACATATACTTTATATTTTGAAACCTTAACTTTAACGTGCCTTCAATGGGAAAACTGAAGTACAAAAAAACACGGGTACAATGCCTTTGCTCTGCAGATAGTTGAGGCGACCGATACTTGGGTTTAAATACTTGAACTGGGCTAGTCAAGTACAAAAAAATGTCCTTTTTACTGCACCTTAAAGCTTTTACCCCTTTGCCTGTGGCATGCTCCATTGCTTTGTAACAACATCTGTGCTTTGCTGACAACAATGAGAAGGTAGAAGAGAAAGAAAAGATGATTGTCTGACCTTGTTTTTTTCCTACTGGAAAATGGGTTCACTGTTGCCAAAGTTAAAGCCCAGACAAGTAAGCTGCATGATATGCAATCAAATCTCAGGGAAAAGTTTTGTGTAGGTGATCACTTGAGGGCAAGGGAGGGAGGGTTAAGGCTAAATTGCAGGAAAGAAACTGGCGTTGGCGTTCAGTAAAGGCATACTCCAAGGACAGTATTTACCTTACCCAGTTTTTAGATGAGTAAGCTGCTCCTCCATCAATGAAGGGAGAGAGGTGGAATGACTCACATTCTAAGGATCTTATTTCAGACAAACTAAATCTGATATTAAAGTTCAACTAGACACTTAACTTCTAGATACCTAAAGTCAAGAAGGTATAGCCTCTTAAAGTGACAGTTAGAGGAAAAAAAAAACAGCAAACTAGCGCAGTTTCCAGGCACTGCGGTTCTAATCCTCTGCCTTTACCACTAGTCTCACCTCTGGCCCAAATTGCACCCTTTTCTATCCCCTCACTAAATTTAGTCTCCGCTACTAAATGATAGACCCACTAAGAAAAAAAAAAAAAAAAGGAACACAATTTGCAAAGTTAAAAAGCCTCATCATGGAAATTATGTTTTTGCCTTTGAAGTGTCTTCTGCCAGCATGTTGTAGATAAATACAGGATTCAATAATACTGGAATTCACAGAAAGAGTTACGACATTCAATTTTACAGCTGTTGAATAAGTCAATGCCAACTGAAATTAGCCTTTACTGCAAAGGGACGCTGCACAAATAGCTCAGGATAAACATCACCTACAGAATCATTACAACAAAAACTGAAACTGTTGAAATTCACGAGTTACAGGATAAAATGCAGTTTTAAATCAATTATGATAGCAAGCTTTTACATTAGATTCAAATACAAAACATTCGTTTGCTACAAATCCTGTTGCACATTTAAAGAGTGTGCAGCTTTCTTAAAATAAGTCATTAACTACATCTGTAACCTAAATAGAGTACCGATTTTACAAAGTAGATCTTACAAAGCTGCAATCTGCTGGACAGTTTTTCCGCATGCTATTTTAAAGAGTTATTTTGGAATTAGGCAACAAAACTTTTAAGAAAACGTTCATTTCTTGAATTCATCACCTCTTCTATGGCATCAATATTTATCTATTTCAGGAGCAGACAACTAGACGACACTTTTTTTTCTGTTCTTATAACAGGACGTCCTTTATCAGTAGGAGAAAGCAGAGGAGAAATGTGTGGTTAAAACTGGGTCAGTTAAACATTATTACAAGTTTTGGATACAAATATATTAAAGTAAACTGGATGCTATCAGGATTTTCTGTTTGCGTCGTTTTTAAAATCCCAAGAGACTTGTTAGAACTAGAGAGATCAGCAGCTCCTCAGAACTGCAAAACTATACATCGGCAAATCTGCCTTAGAATAAAGGGATGGACCAGACTATCTCTTGCAGATACAACCACTCCAATTACCTGTGAAGTAAACTTATAAATTGAATATGCTTAAGCAAAGCTTTCATTTTAATTTATAATCATTACATGGAATTGCTTATATCCTACTTACTTTTTAAGTAGTATTACTAATAGTTTGCTCAAAGAATCTAGTGCACAGAAGGAGAAGGGAGGAAAGAAAAACTTCACAGGCTGCAAATCAACACATTTATTCTTTGGTGGAAGACACGAACATCTTTAAGTCTCTATTCAAGGCTTCTGGGGAACAATTTTGCAGATCTCTCTTCATGCCCAGTCCACATTTCAGCATCAACAACTATCAGCATGGTGACTTCCCTTACTTTCACCCTAATTACACACAAAATTGTTGACTCACACATTCTGAGAGGAAATATTAAAGGTGAAATAAATAATATCCAAAAATGCACCCTAAGGTATTTCACGAGTGCCCTAACCCATTCAATTTGGCCTACCGAAAAATAATTCCAGGCTATCAACAGCCAACAGATGTGTTTAACTTCTCAAAAGTCAAAAAAAACCCAAAAAACAAAAAAAAAAACAAAATACTTATTTTTCCTCTGCTGCCACTCAGTCTCCAGATCCAGAATCAAAGCTGAAAAGCAAGTACTGTCTACTTTTGGAAAAGCCTGAGTTTCTCAGTTACTTCTAGCAGTCTTATCTGAACCTGAATACAACAATCATTTTGCTCTCCCTGCCCCACCTTTTCACAGATTCCAGAAATAAGACTATCTGCATACAAATATGAACAATATCAATATTATAAAAAAACATCAACATACCTAAAACAGGAACGTTTACAAAACCAGATTGCCCATAATTGAGTACAGTATGGTTAGGTTTAAAGGCTTATTGTGGCACACAATTTAGTCTAGAAGTTATGTCATTAAAGCCTTTACAACGCTATTCAAACTACACATACCATCTTAAAAGGCAGATATGTTCATATTAATAAAATGAAGTTATTGTGCCTGCCTGTAGTGTTGAAATGGTAATCCTTTGTTAAGGTATTACACTTAATCACCAGCTCAGTTCTCACTGAGGTCTTATTTGTAGCTGTTGTAAAGCATCATTCCTCTGCACGTTTTACTTATTTCTTGATTGCCATAATAGGACCAGCATTGGAAGCAATTCCATATTTTTTTTCTTTCTGATTTACTTAAGTCGCATTACCATGTATTACTAAACAGCTGTGTGACAAATGAAAAAAAACAACTTTCAACATTTTGATGTCTTTTAGTAAGAAATTCTAAATTGGTGCAACAGCATTTAGAGAAGCACATTTAAAAGCACTCACAAAAAACATTTAACTAAAATAGAACAGATTCACCTTACCTACTAACAGCCAAACTACATTGGAGTCATGTTCTGTCAGGAAGTCTTCCAATTGCGTGATACTTGGGACAAAACTATCATTTTTCCTTTGATCCATTGCTAAGCTGTTTTTGTATCAGCACCTATAGAACTGAAGGCAAAAATCCCAAATGAGTAATAAGAACAGTATAGTTTAGAGTATGTACTACATTAAACAATACTTAACAGCCTGCTTTAAAAAAAAGAAATCCCATGCTCTCCAAATTTAGTAGTCTGAATACCCTATACAACATATAAAAGCCAAATACATTCAACAATTATACTATAGCACTAAGTCAAAAGGAACCTGAATATAGGAGTAAAAACTAACCTATATTCATCTAAGCATTCTAGCATACAAAAAGGTAACATAAGACAAGTTGCACACTTCACATTCGCATATTAGAGATTTGTTCTACGGAACATTCCTGCCTGAGCAGCATTAGTCAGTTTATTTCAAGAGAACTATTCTGCTTAACTAGCGAGTTAAATATCCACCATCTCAGTATTATAGCTTAAGCCTCCAACAACTCATGTATTTTATACCTCTTATTTCTTACACCCAAAATGCCAAACAGTCCATCTGAAAAGAAAAAAAGATGGTGCTATTTCTGCCAGTGAGATGAACAACTCCCTAAAGGCTATGTTTGCTCAATTCAGGTTTGCCACTGAATTTTGTGAATCAACGTTACAATTCATGCTGTTTCAGGATGTTTACATAAGAAATTTACTCCTCATTTTAACAGGTAGTGACAGAGAACAGAAAGCAATTCCCTATACCAACAAAGAAAAAGAGTCCTAGCCCAGGATACCAATTCTGAAACCTGTTTTTAATTGCCAATTAATTTAATTGCTCAGAATCTGGAGGCTCAAACTGTATACTGGATATGCACAGATAACTAAAAGTTGAGAGGTAGTTAAACTTGTTATAGAGCTTTTAATTATCATTTGTAAACCTTATTAAGCCAACATTTCAAAAGATGCTCAACCAGTTGTCTTAAACACATACCCAAAAAGCATCTCTAAGTCACCTGAGAGGTAGCTGCCCTACAGTTCTTCAAATACATACAGCTGCTGAGGGAGAGGCCACATGTGACCACGGGCAAGTAGATTAAGGAGAATACCTTCAGGCTTTCCCATATTAAGAGGGGGAAGCCGATCAGGCCTTTACAGGAAAAGCCCTTCATCACACTCTACACAGCGCAGAGTGCAGGTGGCTCCTTTCATGGCCTCAACCTGATATTTCAGTTACACCATTCCAAAGTGAATTCCTTGGAGTATTTAACTACATTTGAGCAAAGAGCAAAATTCAGACAGGGAGGAAAAACATATTAGCATGAGATTATATTAAGGAATCGATACTTAAAGCAGTTCTACATGTCATTTGTTCAAGTGCTACCTTTCAGTGCGCTAGGGGCCTTTCCCCATATGCTCCGGCCAGTAGCACAGAACGGCTGCACCCATGCAAGGCAACACTGAAGCGTACACTTCCAAGCAATCTTTAGGAGCTACAGAAAGTTCACTTAGCCTCTTTATTCAGTGAGTCTAGTGGTTCTCTTGCTTTAAGATGGATTTGAATCAGCTTATAAAAAGCGGCTACACAGTGCATCTGCTATATAGAGAGCACAAAACCAGTCCTTCTGATCTTTTGCACTTACTCAAGCCACCCACAAATCATCTTGCAATTGGGTTATATTAATTGTGATTAACAGGGAGTAGTTCAGCTCAGTAACATTTGCAATTACACAGCAGCATTTTATTTGTATTAGTTTAATTTGAAGTCTTGTCCCTTGGACGTAATCTGTCAAGCTTTCTTACCAGAAGGTAAGTATTAACTCTGCCCTCCTCTTCCCTCCCACTTTTTTTTTTTTTTTTTTTTTTTAAAAAGTACACCTTCCAACTCCTGGCAACCTGTCTTTGAAATCAACGTTAGCATTCAACCCACAGAAAACAAGTAGTTTTATCTCCCTTTCTTTATGAAGTTTCTGATGATCTCCATCAAGAACTAAAGAATGTGAAACTAAATACCATTGATAAAGCTTTGCTTTCTGAGCAGCATAAAATATCAACTATTGCAAAGATGTTAAACATTAGCAAGAAAAAACAATTTATCCCTTTTTTTTTCCCTGTAATATCCATACTATCCTCTCAGTAGTTTAACTTGGAAATAAAACGTGGCTGGAGGAGTTCAAGAAACCTACTTTAAAAGCGTTCATATCTCACCTACGTTTGGGGAAATTCAATACTCTGATTCAAAGAGCCTGCACTTTGAACTGAAACATGGGCACAGTCTCAAGGAAAAGTATTGGCAGTTTCTTCACCCTCCTCTTGTGATAAGAAATAATAGAATAGGGAAGAAAAAACATGGAAGCAATAAATAAAAAAAACTCCAGACATTGTTTCCTGTAGTGATGATAAAGCTCCACTATAAACAGGAAGAATAAGCATCATGCATGAATATTTTTAAAAATAAGCCCTTGTTTTAGAAGGGACATTACAATGGCAAACTCAATTATATAATGGTAGTGCAATTTGCTTTAAGCCTTTCACAACACCCTAATTAAAAAAAAAACCAACCCACATGCCATCTTGCATTATGAAGCAGATGTGCAGACCGCCTATAAGATCCTTTAACTTGTGAATGACAGAGGAACTGGAGAAACTGAAGTCAATATATTTCAGTATAAAGTTTGCTTAATGAAAAAAAAAAAAAAGATTTTGTGGTTATACAAGAGAAAAGAATCTTTCTTTTGTGATCAAGACCACTGTGGAAATGGTGCGAATTAATGGGGACCGCTTATTACGTTAAAGAACGTCACTGTTTAATCCTCTAAGAAAGCCATTTGTGGCCTTTTTGTAAGAAATTATCCTCCAATGTTACTTGATACTAAGACAGACTATTACATACTGTTATAGCTCTAAGGAAGGCTGTAGCAAGACAAGTCAAAGATTGCAAGTCATGGGAACCTGATATTGAATTAAAAGACTCTGCTCATCATTTTTTGTTATCACTATCCCAAGCATAAACTGGATATCCTTGAAAGTTTTCTGGAATACATTTGCTATTGGCATGCAAATAAACACAGGATTCCCACACCAGTTATCACTTCTAAATCCATCATTTTGGAGCCCCACAGTTGATCACCTAATACGCTGCCCCACTACCACGCAACTTTTGCCCTTGGTTGGCTTGATCAAGTGTCCTGAGGAAGAAACAGCAACAGTGAAAGCGTAATCGTTCAGAAACAGGCAGCCGTAACACTTGCACCAGAAGCCGGCTCTTGGTGTCACAGAAGAAGCAGGTGTTTTAAATAGATTATAAAACAATTTTGTCCATACGAGCTAGTGTAACAGAAGGGGGAATGCATACAGCAACTTAAGTAGTACGTGCTATTTATAAAGTCCTTGTGCATTTACAGAGCATGGAGTGCAGAGAGGCAGGAGCAGGAGCAGGACTGTCAGCAGAAAAAAAAAACATTGGCTTTTCAGTAGCTAGTATCTGTCCTGAAAACACAGCATCTCTTTCTGGCAACAGCCCTGATGATCCTGCTCTTGCCTTTTCAGATTCCATGCCATAAATACTTTACTTGCACACTTAAACTGTGCCTACTGTTTAGGCTACGGCGTGCATCCCTCCCTCTTACATCTATTCCTACAGGCAAAATTACTTCTGAATCTGTGGAAACAATTGCACTTTTCCAGGAACACATCTTTGACCAATAGCTTGATATGCCTGTAATTTAAATGCAAACTGTTACTGTATTTTTCTGAAGTAACAAGGTACTTTCCAAATTTTAAGGGACTGCTTTTGAAAGAAAGATCTAAGTCTAGATGGAGAACAAACTCTTAACATCTCTACCAATACAACAACAACAAAAAAAAAAGCACATGACAAAGAAAGAAGAAATCCAGAACTTCACATTTACCTCTCTGCATTTATTTCAATGTGTATTTTCTCACCATCTTTACTGCTTTATAATGAGTCCAGTAAAACAGCTGGCACAATCCAAAAGCATAACTTTTTTTTGTTACGGCCCCAAAAAAACAGCACATCTTTACTATTCAGTATAGTACTCATGGCTTTCATTACTACAAATCATGTTAATACATAAAAAAATTTATTCCTTTCCTCCTGGAAGGAGGAAAGGAACAGAAGAGGATTGTGTGGCAATCAAGTGATAGAATCACAGCGCCTTTCACTTGTATTCATTTTCACAACAGTCCTTTAAGGTGATACATAATCATCTTTCTATAAATGAGATACCTGAAACAGAGAGAGATAAAAGGCCAAACACACAACTTACGATGCCCAAACTCAAATACTTAAGGGCTGCTTTTCAGGAGCATGTTTAGAGCACTCGATCTGTTCAAAGCAGTCACTGGACTTGCTTGAAGATGTGAGGATTCAATATTTCCAAAGATTTGCCTCAACTGGTCACATAGACATTATTTATAGGAGAAATACAATTAACTGACACCTGAAAACCTGAGTTTTAATTACCTGAGTCACACGTTAATCAGTTACTCTCATTACTGAAGTAGTAAATGATAAGGAAAAAAAAAAAAAAGAAAAAAAAAAGAGGTAAGTACTCTTATAGTCCTGGGGGATGCACTTCACTTCCAGCCCATTTCCTGTATTTCAAACTCTGGTCGAGTTTGCACAGCACTTATTCTATTCCTAAAACCAGGTAAAAATTAGTTGCTTAAAATCACTTTAAACCTATTTCAATCACAACAAACTAGCCTCACTCTGAGGCATCAACACTTACCTCCGAGAAAAGAATACTCTGCCTGAACAAAGTCAGTAAAAATTTACAGAAAGCATGCATATATACAAGATTAAAAAAACCACCATCCAATAGCTTGACTGATAAGACACAAAATATACTTTTGATACTCAGATTTCATATTACACTTAACTTTGTTTAGATAGTTAGCAGGAAAAAACAGTGTATTTTTTGTGCAAAAAAAAAGTAAGAAAGATGAGCCGCTCATTGACCCTTTGAAGCACCTGGCCACAGAGTGGCATAACACCCAAAGAGGACACACTGCAGCATTCTCCTTCGCGAGAACTCAGTTGCTTTAGCAGAGATAGCTGAAGTAAGTGAAATA